GCACTCCCCTGCTGATCCCCAGCAGAGCCCAAGCAGCAGCCATGGGTGCTATGAGTGCACTGGAGACCTGCACCTTCCACACCTCCTGCCTCCACCTCCACCACAGTCTCCTCTCCATAGGAACGGAATAGGGCCAGGAGCCCAGGGAACCCCTGTATCACGATGAGTCAGGGTCCCTGCCAGCACTCAGCTGACACGTCGCTTCTGATATCACCCACCTACTGCAACGGGTTCCCACTCAAACAGCAAACACCTCTCATAGGCTTTGCCATCCTCTATCTGTGCAAAAGTACCCCAACACGTGTCACAGCGTGCATGGGTTAATACGGGCAGCTGTAGCCCGTGGTGCTCCGGGGCAGGATAAGGCAGGGATGAGGACCGGCTCTGGCAGTGTTTCCTTCCTCCAATTCAAAGCTCACTCCAGGCACTTAATAGCCAGTTTCTTCCTGTTGCAATTCTCGTTAGCTCATGAAGTGGCTAATTACAGGCCTGCAGCTGCCATTTGGAGCAGCAGCAGTGCTGGGTTATCCCCAGGCAGGGGAGGGAGATACCTCAGCACTGGTAGAGGCGTTGGGGCCAGGCTCTGGGGGTCTGGGGCCAGCCAGCCCAGGGAGCCACTACTCCACTCATGGACCAGACCCAGAGCTTTTGGTAGGGACCAAGCACCAGGACACTGTGCCTATGGATTTAATGCAGAGATGCAGCTTCTGTACCCTGTGCTCAAGGACCCAGCACTTTGCACATGCGGAGAGGCCATCCCATCACCCCTCTTGTCCCTGGGCACCAAACCACCCATCCTGTGCACAACATGCCCATCACCACATCGATGCTCTTATCTGCAGCAGCCCCCATTAAATTTTTCATTCCTGTGTGCTATTACCCCTCCTGTCCACAGCATCGCCACACCTCTCCTGTCCCCAGCACACTGTCCATCCTGTGACCCCTTCTGTTTCCCCTGCCCTGCCATACTGTCACTCCCGATACCCCCCATCATCTCTCTAGTCTCCAGCATCCACCACCAACCTCCCCCTCCTCAGTGCCCTGACCACACTGTCCCCCCCTCACGCTGTGTTCTCCCGGAAGCACCCGGCAGGGCTAAGCCGATTACCTCCCTTAATACCCCCATGGCCCAGAAGAGACATTCCAGGCAAACATCGATGCACCTTCCCCTGCACTGCTGGACGACCCGGGCTCCCTGGGGACTGAGGGATCCCTGGGGTGGGGGAGTGGTCTCCAGACCTGCCAGGAAATCTCAGATCCGAAGGACCTGATCCTGCACAGTGCAAGTACCAGAATCCTGGCTCCAGAATGCCAGTCTCCCCACCCTGAGCTCCAGTTCTCCATGCACCGGCACCCTGGTGCTGGGGTGCACGTGGATTTGTGAGTCCCAACAAAGCTACAGCAAAAGTGATGAGGTACTTTCACCTCATCTCTTCCATAAACTCTTCCTTGATCCTGATTCTCCAACTGGAATTATCAGACATCTTTCCACCCATTCCCTCTCCTTAGGCCTGCAGACGGAGCCCTGCCCATGTCCCTGGCATGGGTATCAGCTCCTTGGAGCCCCGTGGGATGTCTGTGCCCCACATCCCAGCTCCTCCACACCTCACCCCCACAAGGGCTCCTTTCCCACAGTGGGAGCCAGCTGAGCACATGTAACCCCAGATAACAAGATGGGGACATTATGTCGAAGAATAAACCACACAGAAAATTAAACTCGGGAGCAGCACCTCAGCTGCTGCGTGGAGAAACACTTGGCCTGCACCAGTGTGGCAGAGGACACCCCATCATGCAACCATGGGAGGCTTGAAGGGATGGGGTGGCTGAATGGGACCACTGCCCATCACCACCACTCCCGGGTGGACCCAGACAACCTTTACTGTGCCTCAAGAAAACACTGGGGCTGCTTCCTCCAGACTGACTCACAGGATGCTGCAGGGCTGAGAGACCACTCCCTGCTCACCCACTGGGCAGAGCCCTGGGGAGTTCGGCAGGGCAGCCAGGCCCCTGCAAGCACCACGGGCACAGCACCAGTCCTGCTGTCTTGCTCCTAAGAGTGGCTTGGAGCTGCCACAGCTTCAGGAGTCAGCATGGGGGTCCCTGGAGCCACTGCACTCACTGTGTCCCAACTCTATCCCCAATGCAGCGATGTACAAGAAGGCAAGGAGGAAAAGCCAAGAGAGGGACAATCCCACCACAGGCTGAGCCTGGGAACTTCCCAGGGGATGCCTCCTGCCTAGCCATGCCCAGCTGGGAACTTAGAGCAGTCCCTGCAGCAGCGCAGAGCAGAGGCAGCCAGTATGAACACCAGCATCTGTACTCCTACCCATGCCCCTTCAAAGCGGCACAAGGAGGAGCAGCAGCGTGGAGCCAGCAGGTCAAACATGGCCAAATGGGTCACTTCAACAGGAAACAACTCAGATTTTGCTGAGCATCTTCTCCAGATGTCTGGGATGTGAAGTGATGGCTGTGGCAGCAGGGTTCAGGATTATTAAAAAATGGGGTTCTAGCCTGTCATCCCATCTGGAAAACATTTTTTTTTTGTCTACAATAACAACAATGATAATAAGAGATGAAATTTGGCAACCTAGTTACTCGAGAAACAGGGAGAAATACGGCTCTCAGTCGTGTTCCAGGAAATGAAGCCAGAAAACGAAGCAAGGCAGGGCCTCTGCCCAAGGCCTGGTGTGGTGCATAGAGACAAATAGGAGAAAAAAGCCCAGCTGAGGAGCAGCAAGCAAACCTAAACCACCCTACAACACCTCCAAAGCGCTGCTGCCCTTCCTCCAGCTCAGATCAGGCTCATAGCAAGATGAGGATGTTACTGAGCCACGTGCAGCTGCATTCTGAGAGATGGCATCTGCTGCAGGGGCTCTGGGTCGCAGCACCAGCCAAGGAAAGTGAGGAGGAGGAGAAGGAGAAGCCAATCCTCATCTGAAGAAGCTTTGATGGAGCTGCAGAGGCAGGAGGACATAAGTATGGTGGTGCAGGATCTTCTCCCTAGCTTTCTCCTTGCCAGGAGCCAATTTCACCAGCATACTACAGAGCAAGAGCTACTCCTGAGCCCACCACCTCCACCTTGTTGCCATTCCCAGAGAAGGCCAAGCTGGGGCCCATCTGCCCAGGAAAGGCAATTATAAAGTGAGAAAAAACAGCCAATGCTTCCTGTTCCCCACCAGAGGAAGGCGGTGGGGTTGGGACAGAGACTCGTTTACCTGCCCAGCATCCCAGGGATATTTTTTCAGCCATGCCCAGGAGGAACCTACCTGGAGCTCCCCACTGCCACATGCCACACAACCTCAAACTCCTGGCAATGGGATGCTGGTGTTGCAAACAGAGCAAAGACACCATCCCCAGCTTCTCTCAGGGGAAAGAGGTTGAGCTGAAAATCCAAACCTATGGGTGCCAAGAGCATGCAATATCCCAGCACTGGAACATGCTGTTGATGTGGTACCAGGTGCCTCATACTCACCTCACCTCCAGCATCTTTCTAGGGCTGGGAAGGGAGGGGAAGTGGAAATTGTCACCACCTCCCCTGACAGCACTCAGGCATAGCCACCCCAGCAGCCTCTCAAGGGACCCTGCCCAACCAGCACTGCCAGGCCAGATGATCCCACACAAACCCTTTAAATTCAGGAGGAGCAGAGATTACACTGGATCACTGGTGGCTCATCCGAGCTGCCCGGATCTCCTTCCTCCCATCTCAGCCTGTGTCAGCAGTACCTCTGGCTGGGCCACCCCAGCCTTGGCTCGGGGGAAGAGGGGGAGCACAGGACCATCCCCACCTCTGCCTCCAACTCTCTGACATGGAGACACACAGACCTTTTGATCCAATGGGAGATTTAAAAATTATTGCAGCTTCCCGCCGCTCCTGGGAGCACGGCGAGCCCACCCGGGCCCCGGCTGACAGCAGGCTGCCTGCTCGGCGTCCGCCTGCCCGGCGTCGGCCGCGCCGGGAGCCAGAGCAGGGAAACAATATCAGATCCGCAAACAATGCTGGGAGCCAGGAGGCCCTTCCCGGCTCCTGCGCCAGCGAAGCGGAAAGCACCTGCCCGAGACAGGCCGTACCTAGGCAGGGACACGGCAGCTCCTCGGGGCGGGCAGCCACAGCCTTCCCCGCGGGCAGCAACGGAGCTTGGGGCTGGCTGGGGTTTTTGGGCCGTTGTTTGTGCCCATCACAGCCCCGCGCACCCCAGCAGTGGCCACAGAGCAAGGGGACATGGAGCATGTCCAGTGCCAGCCGTCCCAGGAGGGGAAATGCCCTAACCCAGGCCCCGAAACTCAAATCAAACCTGAACGCCCCGAAACAGCCCTTCAGCGGACAGCAGGGCACCCTAGGGCGGTGCTGCACGGGAGGGCGCGAAGGCCACCCATTCCTTCTGCCCCGGCGGAGAGCAGAAATGTCATCGTCACTGGTGCAGCGGGGCGATGCTGCGGCCTCTCCCGGGGCAATGAGGCAGGTGGGCAAACACGGCTTCCTCCAGCGCAGCCCCCGAGGGCTCCCTGGGACGGCTCGATCACTGCAGCACCTTTATTTTTTTCTTTATTTCGGTGTTTTTTGATGTTTTTTAATTTTTTTCCTACCAATAAAGGTGCTTCATGAGGGCCGCTCCCATGATTGTGTGCTCCTTTCCCACTCCAGGATCCACATCTGTAGGTCCCTCCAGCCCCCCCAAACAGCTGCTGGGGACCAGCCCTGCGGCGCTGCCTCCCGCTGCAAGGTCCCGCCTGCAGCAGCGGGCAGGAGAGTGACGGGGAGGCGCTGCCCGTCCCCGGGGAGCCCTGCGGGGTGTGAGAAATCCTCGTGGGACTGCCTCCTACCTTGCTTCCACCCAAGAACACGAACATCCATGGACGCTGATCCCTCATGGGGATGAGGATAATCGCGGAGAAGAGGGGGGCAACTGCACCAGGGTTCGATCATGGGAGGGGACACGAGCATCCGCGGGGGAAGGAAGAGGACACGGACACGGGAGCAGGGGGAACGCGGAGTTACTCACCGGCACGGGCGAAGCGCAGATGGAAGGATCCGAGGGCGGCGAGCAGCAGTAGCAGCGCTCCGCGGCGGGCGGCAGCGCCCCGGGCCGACACCATCATCCACAGACACGGTCACGGGCACGCGCGGGTGCGGGGCCGCGGCGGCTGCGGGCGGCGGGGCGGGGCCGGGGCGGGGCCGGGGCTAGGGCAGGGGCGGGGCTCCGCCGCGGTTGGGCCCCGCCCCCACCCCTGGCCCCGCCCCCTCCGCAGCCCCGCGGCGGGAGTGCTCCGGTATCACCGAGCCGGGGATGCTCCCAGTGCTGCCCCTCAGAGCCCGTTCCAGTGCCTAGGGGGGCTCCAGAGAGCTGGACAGGGGCCTGGAGTGACAGGACAAGGGGAAATGCCTTCCCATTGCCAGAGGGAAGGGTTACATGGGATATTGGGAAGAAATTCTTCCCAATAGAAGAATGTGAGTGAGAGTGGAAAGGCCCAGGTTGCCAGAGAAGCTGTGGCTGCCCCATCCCTGGAAACGCTCAAAGCCAGATTGGACAGGGCTCTGAACAAGTGGCAGGTATCTCTGCCCATGGTGAGGGGGTTGGACTATATGACCTTGAAAGGTTCCTTCCAAGCCAATGCAGTCTGTAATGCTACGTTGGGATCTGGTTATTCCCCCAGTCCCACATGAATGACATACACTGGGAGTGAGGAGCTAGGGAATCTCACCTGTGGGTCGTGTGGCTGCTGTGGTAACGTTCAGGGTGATGGCTGTCGGTGTCTCATCCCTGCCTGCTCTGCAGCTGTGGCACGTGGCTTTGAGTGCAGAGTTTCTCAGACCGCATCTGCAGCTATTGGCTTTGGATAGGGCTGTGCACTGCCCCTCCCTTATCAGTCTGAGCCACGTCCCTGGGTCAGTCCCTTGCAATCCCTTTCTATATCCTGGATGAGTTTCACATCTCTAGGGTTTGCTTTCCAACCCCTATGTCCTCTTCAGAGTACAATTGTCCCATCTGAGTACAGGACAGTGAGTGCTTGGTGGAGATGTGCCTCCATAACCACAAGCCCCAGAGATACCACATGGACGCCCCAGTCATGCCAACAGCCATGTGCAGCACAGATGCCAGGTTGTCCCTGTGCGCTGCAAAGCTCCCAGACTGCCCAAGGTTTTCCCCCATGGAGTCAGAGGATGCTCTGCAAAATCTTGGCTTCCAATCTCTGGCCCCATGCTCTGGGCACAGACCCGAGGCCTTGGCAGGAATACAAATGACATCATGCTGTGTGGGACCTGCTGTCTGGGATCCCGCTGGCCAAATGTGCTGCCTGATTCTCAGTGTGGGGATTCCCATGGCTGTGCCGTGCTGCGTGGCTGGGCTCAGCCCCAGCTGACACGCTCACAGCAGGAGCTCTGTTAGAGCATCAGTGGTGCCCTAGCAGACTGTCAGCCCACTCTAAGCCTGCCCAAGGAATGCTGAGAGCGAGCTGCCCCGGTGTGGTGTGACAGGGATGTTAAGCCTGGCTCTGGAAGGAATTTCCACCTGCCCGTGGTTCCCTCTGTCACCGTGGCTGAGCAGGAAGGTGCCGGGCAGAGGTGGGTGACAGCATGGCATGGGGACAGCCATGTCATCTGCTCCCAGCAGAATAGTTACCTCTTAAATTTTCTTTATTCCTTAATTTCCTTATCCCTTTCCTCCTCTGAAAGGGACTTTGAAAAAATAAAATCCCTGTCTGGGATTTTACTTCCCCAAGAAAAAGCTGCTGTAATGGTTTAGGAATGGCACTCCCCAGTTTAGTGCTCCCTGCCCAAGACTCTCCCAAACCAGATGCTGCTCCCTCCCTCCCTCCCTTCCTGCTCTGGGAATGTAGTTTAGAATTGGAGGCACAAAAAGATGGGTTGAGATAAGAACCATTTACTGGGAACAGCACCTCTCTGGGGACCTCAGCACTCCCCAGCATCACACTCAGCCATGGGGCAGGGGCACTATTTCTTCATCCAGGAGCAAGTGGTGGGTGGGGAGATGGACGGGGCCACAGGATCCCCGAGCACAGTGAGGGTGAGTTGGGTCCTCCAGCACTGATCCATTAGGGACAAGCCAGGCTGGCAGCAAGGCGGGACCTGATCTCCTGGGAGAGCCAGAGAGGGACCCACTAAAGCCATGGTCACCATCCTGGGGGCTTGCAAGATCCTGCTGGATGAAAGCTTGGGAAACCACCTGTGCCTTACCCTGACTGCAGGCACTTCCAACCCTCTGGCAGGGATATCTCCCTTTATTCCTAAGTTATATACATGTAGATTGTAAAACATACACATGAATAGATATTTAAAAAGGACGAGATAAAGATTTAATAAACATTAATTTAAAAACATTATTTAATTTTGTTTGTTAATTTGTATATATTTGCACCAAATATATAATACCAAAGTATATTTGCACCAAATATACTTTCCTCCTGCACCCTGATGGGTTGTCCTGTGTACCCCTGGAGTTGCATGCACCCTGGCTTCTCTGGAGGAAGCGGGGGTCTTCCCTGAACTCTGAGAACAGAAACTCACGATTCATCTATCCCTGGTGACACTGCTGGTCCTTTCAGCAAGCTCCACCGCTCCATATTGTGCTGTGGTCTCATCTATCAGTATCTTGAGTTGGTGAAGGCTAAGCACAGACACAGTTGGGACTCATGGTATGCAGCCCTTCCCTGCCACAAGGATGCCACATTCTCCCCCTCTGCCCATAAGCTCCAGAGGTGCATTCCTAGCGCAATACAGCTACACTAGACAGGAGCAGCCAGGAACTCTCAAGTTTCTCTGGCAGTAGGAGAGCAAAGGGGGGAGGGAGATTGCTCTGGCTCACACCTGTCCTGGGAATCTTAGGTAAAAAGGGATGGGAAATCCCCATTTTATTTCCAAAGGAGCTGCTGATTTTGTAGGTGTCTTAAAATGGGTTCCTCACCTAGCCCTGTCTTGTCCATGTCTTCTGGGAAGATGTAGTGCAGCCTAACCTGAGTGGGATAAAGCACGTTGGGTTCCCACTGAGAAATCTTGGCTCCATCAATCACAGGACACTAGTTTCCATAATTTTTACTCAGTAGGATTCTTACAGAGTTTTGCTTGTAGAGTAATCCCCACTGGGCTGAGGTCAGGGGAGGACACATTTTACTGTATCTGTGGCTGGATCTCCCGGCACACACTGAGCAAAACATCCATTTCTACCCCTTTATTTACAACCACCAGGCACCACCCTCTTGGCTCCATGTGCTGAGAGTCCTTGAACTCTTCATGAAGGGATGTCATGTGCTCTCCCACCTACACTTCTGCCTCATCGCCATTTCACATGTGGAAAGCAGCTTCCTGTTCCCAGGATTAACTTTCAGCTCCAGAAACTATAAAGATCAGTCCACTGACAATGGTTTTCCTCCTTACACATAATTTTATTGCATTAAGGGAAAGACATCTGGCTCTGCAGAGTCTGCAAGTAGAGCCCAGACAAGGGCTCTATCCAGCACTTACCAGGAGTGCAAACAGCTGAGTATTGCTGCTGTTCTTTACACTGTTTCACCTCAGAAAGGGCTCTGCTTGGGAATAAAAGCTCTTTCCAAGGAGCCTGACAAGGCCCTCATGTAGATAAATGATTAAAGGAAAAAGGCTTACCAAGGGCATTGGCATGCCAAGGCAATGTGTAGACAATCCATCTGGGCAGTATTTATTTCTTACGGAAAGAGTTCCCAGAATTGCTTACTGTGAGAACTCCCGTGGCCAAACAATTAACAGTGTTAAAGAATCCTCTCCTAGTCAATCCCAGAGGATGCTACATGCTATCCTTCTGCCACCTCTCTGAGAGAATGGGGAGCTGTGCAGTGCTCCACACTGATACCTGGCTTTAGGGATGGGATGAGACCCACCTCACCCATCGAGGGCTGTACGTGCAGAGCTGGGCTCTCGGGAGCTGGCACTGTGAGTCCAAGCCAGCAGTGGGGGGCTTTCAGTCACAGAAGGAGAGGATGCTGTGAATTAGGGACCCAGCCCCCAGGTCTCCCCAGGCAGTAAAGGGTCTGGATGTGCTGGTAAGGGGGAGTAAGAAACCGCCAGATGCGCACTGCCTGACCAGCACCCCTAGGCTCTTCCCCTGAGAGACCTGTCCCTACTGCTGGGAGGGTGGGGGTCACTCAGTGTCTCAGGTCACTCAGCTGCTTCCTCAGTGATATCTCTAACATCTGAGAATGTGGCAGGACTGTATTCTGGACATGCACAGGGCTCTCCCGATGGTCCCAGGCACTGTTAAACAAGAGCAGACACAGTAGTAGGAGAAGATCGGGGAACAGATGCAGTAGCTCCTCTCGTCCTTCTAGGTTTCCTGGCCTGCAACTGAAGATTGGTCTAAAGATCCCACAAAATATGACAGGTCAGACCCTACCTGAACAGCTGCTGCCCTTCCTGGGAACAAACTGTGTTTATGCCTTTAGTGAAGATACAGAACGGTTTCCTGCTTGCCCTCTCCATCACAGATTGTGGAAGGACATGTCAAAAAAATAAAAAAAATCTTTAAATTTTACAGACAAAGTGCCTGCTGGCCAATACTGCACTGGGGATGTCAGCCTCATGTTCACACTGAGAAAACAACATAAGGTAGGTACCTCTGGGAGTCTGGAGGACCAGAATGGCATCCAAAGGTGACTGTGGTTCCATCAGGCTTGAGAGTGGCAAGGGAAAGCAGAGACACTAGCTTGCAAGAAATACTCTGGGTCTAACAAGAAACTGTAGTCTAAGGATCAATGAAGATGAGATACAGAAGATTTTTGAGTGCCAAACTAAAACTACTGATTTTGCAGGAGGAGCAGGCCAGGAGATGATCAGGGATTCACACAAGTCTGTAAGAACCTACTGGTGCTGATAGAGTTGTCGTCAGGTCCTTCCAGAGAGAAGGGTGGGAACATCTGCCAGGAGCAAAGAGAAGGTGGGTGCCAGGCTGAGAGGATTAAGCACCTTCAAACAACATTTCAAGGGTTCTCCAAGAGGGAACAGGGCAACCTTGTCATGCTAGGGATGTGCTCTGCAGTGCAGAGGGTCGGGGGGCCTGTCGGTCTGTCCTGGTGCCCAGCAGTTGGGTGAAGGTGTGTGAGCAGCC